CTTATAAAGCAGTCAGTCCTTCAAGATAGTCTGTATAGCAACAGTTTTTATGCGACATACATCTCCTTCATGACACATATCAGCAACAGATAACACTGGCCAGGTGATATCTGAAATACCTCACAACTCATGCGGTATCTTGGACTGAAAGGCTTTACCTATGCACAACCCCATAATTCATTACACAGACTCACATATACTGTAGGCTTCACATCTAAACCAGTATTACTGTGTGTCAAATGTCTGAGTTTGTTTTTGGTACTTCAAGAATCCTGAACCAATCTACTCTACTATGTGGACTTCCCCCATATTTACTCTCTTTAGCTGTTTCGAACTATTCTTAATTTTTCCCCATATGGCCCACCAGACTTGGACAACATGAATAAATTCCAGGCATGCATAGAGTTCTTTTCCAATAAAGTGATTTTTACTTCACAGAAAACACTGAAACACAAGCATATGAAAACACTTGTTAAACGGGACTGTACGAGGTGATCTGTGTGGAGTTCTCTGTATGACGCAAGCGCCCTTCACACTCCACTCGCGCTCATTCCAATTTTACACATACAATTACTTTAAAACATTTGTGTCGATTTACATTTGCTTCGAAACAAGAATTAACACACGCAGATAAGCACATTCATTCTTTGCATGTACATTAAAAAATCATTCAGCAGCTTACTTCCCTCAACATACACACTCGTACAACTGTATAGGCTGAGTGGCTACGGGTTATCCCTTACTAGTATTCGCTAATATTACATTTGTCCTATAAACAGTTATGTGAGTATCACACTGTAAGTTTCACTTTCTCCCTTTTGAAGTTTTGCTCACCTGAAACACAAGCACATATTCAGGACCGCATTCGCTTCAAAATTGGAGAGATCATCCCCACTGTCAGTGAGAGACCCAATAAGAGCTTGGGGAAATGGTAAAGAGCAGAGGTGAATGATCGAGAGAGTGTGAAAGAGATGTTTGGCCAGGTTGAATCTTGGCTGCGAGCTCTGGACAGGAGTGGGCTACCTGGTAGGTTTAAACTCTGGGGCTACCAGCATGGAGTACTTCCAAGACTACTGTGGCCATTACTGATGTATGAGGTGCCATTAACAACAGTTGAAGCCTTAGAAAGGAGGATTAGCACCTTCCTGCGGAGATGGCTGGCAGTTCTCAAAAGCTTTTCTTTAGTTGGCCTGTACAGCTCTGGAAGCAAGCTTCAGCTACCATTAACATCTGTGGTGGAATAGTTTAAAGTGGCTAAAGCCCGCCAGGTGGTAATGCTACGGGACAGCAGCGATCAGTTTGTGAGCCAAGCAGATATCTCCATCCGCACAGGGCGGAAGTGGTCAGCCAACAGGGCCGTGGCAGATGCAGAGGTAAGGCTACGCCACAGAGACATCGTGGGAACTGAACCAAGGCAGGCTGGGGCTAGGGGTCATAACCAGGGCAAGGTGGAATGAGGCAAATGCCAAAGGTCGTTGCAGCCTCATCCAGGAAGAGCTTCCTATGGTGGAGGAGGAGAACAGACAGACGAGGGCAGTGGCTATGATAATCCAGGGGAGGTGGACATGCTGGGGCAAACAACCCCCCATGGACGCTGGGGTTAGCTGTCAAGCCCTCTGAAGGTGTTGTGGGTTAATTGACGAAACACTGGTGAAGGGGGATACCTGCTTGATGACCTGAAGAAAGCACCAAGGGCCCACACCACAAGCAATGTCAGGCGAGTATTGGCCATCATCCTCAAGAAAGTGGCTGGATGTCCATCCAGCCGTTGGGGGTGACAGTGATGAAACCATCGTATAACAGACGAGTAGCAATCAAAATTGCCTCTGTAATTTTCAGTACGTGCTGGGATCTAAGCAGATTATTACAGTAGTGATCAAAATTAGAGAACGAGTATCATTTTTGTAATTTATAAAGTCGCTGCTTATTCGAAATAATTCGAATGAATAGAAGAGATATATTTTAATTATATTTCATCAGTGAACATCCTACGTCATAAAATAGCCTAAAACGTTTAAATAAGAAATTCGAAGGTCCGCGATCAAAATTAGAGACAGGTTACTTTTTTGTAGAAGAAACCTACAAAAGAACTTAGTACACTTTGTTTCAAGTTGAATTAATAAAGTGCATTTTTATATTATTTTATAAATAGCGACTTTGTAAATTACAAGGATTACACTCGTTCTCTAATTTTTATCACAATAATCTTCTCAGATCCCAGCTCATTACTGAAAATTATAGAGGCAGTCTCATCCAACACCCGACCTGATGTATTGCTAGACGTTAGGCAAACACTGTACAGACACAAGTACACTGGGATTTCAGTTTAGTTTCTTTGAGTATCAGCACATAGATGAGTTAAAAGAAATTAAGATGCAGGCGAATTAGATAAAGAAGGACTGGCACAGGACTCTATCAACAGCAAGACAGATGCAAACTCTTTAGTATGGTCATGGACGGTGAATAGGTGGCATTAGGAGTGGGATAAAGATTCACAAGAAAGACACTTATAGGCTATACAATGAAAAGTAGGTAAAATAAGTTTTCATGGATCTAGTAGGAGGGAGGAGAGAGGCATTAGCACGCTAAAGATTGGATATACGGCACTGAACAGTACATTGCAAATAGTTGGAAAACACTCTACAGGCAATTGTCATAGTGTCAGGCACCAGAAACTGTTTTATTTCACTGTAATAAAAGCTGAGTGGTAGAGTACTTCAGGAGGACTGAGAGGATCTAGTTTATTGTGTGTGTGTGTGTGTGTAGGGGGTGAGAAATCTGACCCATGCTCCATCTTAGTAGACGCTGTATCTGAAATGCTATTTGCCAACCGTACAGAAGAGGGCGTCAAAGCAACAACTTATATGCCACGCGCTTAAAATGAACAGAAGTTTGATGTTAGTGTAGAATTTCATGTTTTAATGTAGAATAGGATAGTGACACTTTATTAACCCCTCTTTTCGCCTATCCCATAAAGACACACATGCAAGTGAGATCAAGCTTGGTGGGGGTCACAGTCGAGGGTCAGATATCATGCACTAGTGGTGGCTTAATGGTTAGGGAAGCACATTTGTAATTGTAAGATTGGTGGTTCAAATCCCTGCTGCTGAGGTACCCAGGAAAAAGTACCACCCCCAAGCACTGCTCATTGGGTGCTGAGTTAGCTTCCCCCTTCTAGGGCACGCAGTTACATATGGGTTAAATGCAGAGGGCACATATTGCTGTTGTGCACTGTGTGGTAACAATCATGTTACCTTAAAGGCCTTACTCTGGGGCCCACAAACATGCAGCTATTCTGCAGGGGTTAGGACTTGAACTGGGGACTTTCTGGTCATAGGCACAGAGGCTTTACCTACTAAGACACACATTGTCCTCATTTTAATAGAATTTTAAAATAATGTTCCTTAGAAATGAAACATAATCTATTGATTTTCACCCCATTTTGTTATATGGTATAGAGGACAATTAAAATGTGGTTTTACAAGCACCACGCCCTTTGAGAGATAAGAGTAATTATTACAGAGACTCTTTGCCTTTTTATAAAATTCGTATAAACAGTTCAATCAATGTTTATATGTTTTTGCTAAAATATTTAGTGGAAACATTAAAATGAGGAGAATCTGAAAAGGAAAAATTAAACCTGCCATCGATTTCTTGCTACTTACTAAGCAGAATAAAAAACACCACATTTACTTAAATTGCAGAATAATTATGAGTGTGATCAGCGTAAATTCAGGATTGACATCACTTACAGAAAAATGAAAACGGGGGACATTACATTGCGCAAGAATATTTATTGCACAAATAAGATGGACTAGCTTGTTTGTTCTAGGTTCTACATATTTACTTTATCTAGAAGAGGGCGTAATTTAGTATCCTTAATTAGTTGTAATTCTGGCGAGATGCAGAGGGCTCACATCAATCGGCTCTTTAAAGCCTCTGTACTGAGAGGAAGAGTTAAAGCAGTTGACTTAGCACACATTCCTTTTAAAAAAAAGTTTAAAATGAAGTGACCTAAAAACCTGTATCTATGTATGTTGATTCATAATAAATTAAAATGTTTAATAAATGATTAAGGACAAAACTCACACAATATAGACTTATTTTAGTTCCCTTTTAATGAAAATAGGGTGTACTTCAAGTGTTTTCTCCAGTTTTATGCTCTAATTGATATTTTGTTTTGCCAAAATCCCTGTAGGATTACAAACCATACCTATAGCTTTTTGCTGTATTATTTAGGCCTACCACAGGTTGGTTAAGAGGGCAGGATATGAGTGTAGGGACAGCATATTGTAGATTACAGTAACTTCAGATTATTACAGTGTTATTAAATTTTGTATGATTTTCCCATTTCTACAAGTATAATGTTTAGTTATTTTATGAGTATTATCAGTTAAAAATAATTTCACTTGTAAAATACACCGTGAAAATACATCTACATATACAGTACGGTGGTCGGGTGAGTAAATTTAAGGTATGGTCTTTAGATATAATTGCTCCACGGAGTGGCTGACCTTGCACTCTGATTCTCACTTGCACATTAGTTTGGGCGAAAGTGTCTGCTGAACAAGTAATGCAATGGGTGGCAAGTAATGTAATACATATTCTGGGTGGTATAAATGTCTGAATCCCGTCTTTGCTCTGCATGTGTTGTTTGAATGCAGTACCGGTCTTAGCCGATGTGACGCCCTAGGCGAGTATCACCGCCGTCGCCCCCGTCCGAGGCAAAGTGAAATTGGTTGGTAAGTCGGTGCCCCTACAGACATTGGTGTTCTGGTCATCTATTGACTGGCCCTATATGAATGTTCTACCCATGTCGAGCCATGGATGGATGGCCTGCTACATGGATAAGAAATAGTTACCTTCATGCGCTATGCACTAGGCATCGAAATATTAAACAGTCATTCGGTCTGTCCAATTATATCGTGTTCGTTCCACTGTGCTGAGGTATGATTGGTGCAAAGGTGGGAACTATTAAAGGGGCGGGACTCACCGACCACGGCTCCGGTCTGTGGCTTATTGTCCGCGTGATGGTTAGGACTATTGTGCAGTAATAAGCGATGGGAGAAGAAATAATACTGGACAGTATATTATAAAAGCATAATTACCTTACTATGTTTTGGCAACAGTACCAATATTAAGAAAACGAAAAAATACGTAGAATAATAATCTGTCACATTAAAATAAAATAAATGGTACAAAAAAGTAGTATGTCTACGACGCCTTCAACCTCGACCCAAGAGACCCAAGAGATCCAGATGGACATTTTTGATAATCCTGGTTCACAGGTAAGGAAGCCAGCTTACAAATTGGAGTTGCAACAAACCTAACGATTCGGTGGTGGTCGTGGAATGCATAGTGAGAACTCATGAAAAGTGCTATTTATGAAGACGTTTGCTTTCTAGATATCAACATAAAATCATTTGCAGCGACTGTGATAGATAAAGTTTAAATTAATTTACAGCGGTTATTTAACATCTTACCAGATCACCACATAATATAATTCAAAATATCAGTTAATGTTTTCTTTTTAATCCTTGTGGATATTGATGAATTCACCACGATTGCGTCGCAGGTTGTCTTTTCGGCAGAAATGGGAACTAAAACTGCGTCCCTTTTAATTTACCATATTTCCCCCAAACCTTGTTAAACTGTTGCTTTGGTCTGAATCTTTACGTATGATGGCGTAGGCAGTGCGGAGCCATAGCAGTGAGCGATGTTCTTTTTATGTTTCAGATTATCATCAATTAAGTACACACTGTTACTGTATAGGAGTGGCCTGGCAGTGTTGTATAGTATAGGACCACGGATCTTCACCGAGGAAAGCTTTTTAGTGCAACACTTGTCCCCCTTTGAGGAAAGACTTATTTAACCTTATACTGTATGTATACGCAGCTGCTGAATTTTATTTCGCAAGTGGGATTTTGATTGTGGAGAAACGGTTATGAATTTGAAGGCCATTATAGTAGTCAGCAGTAACGTCCTTAACATAAATTTAACGTGGGCATACCTGGCTACCATTCTTTAAGGAAATGAAGGCATATGCCATAATCCAAGACAGAATTATGAAGTAACTGTTCTGGTATGGAGTGGTGTCTGTTTTCACAAACATCGTTAGGTTTGCAAATACAAAATTGGCATGAAAACAAGAAACATCAGTTTACTTTTTATTTTCTATTTACATCACTGCCTACTGTTTTATGTTGCTTTCCATACTTATGTGGGAACATTTTGGCGCAGTAGTTTTGGGTTGTTTGGTTTTGTCCATTTATGCATATATATATATATATATATATATATATATATAT